TACCAGGAGAGGTCTCTCCCAGCCTTCGACACTTGGAGAAGAACCTGCTACTGGACAAGGGAGCCCTGGGTGAGCTGCAGACGAGACAAGTCTTAACAAAATTTGAGCCAAGATGTCACAGAGGAAGCTCCTAGGCAAGAAATGTTAAAATGGCACTCACTCAGAAAAGACAGTGGGGAAAGAAGCTGGGAAATGAGGAACCAAAAGTATCAAAGTTGGGTTTGTGCTTTAGAGATAAAACCCAGCTACAGCCAAAGCAGATACTCAGAAAAGGCCAGTGAGTTCTGGGAACAAGCTCTGTTTTATGATAGCAACAGAAATCTATCCCTTAAGTCAGATTGTTTTATATTTCTTCTATTTCCTTCCTTGGTATCCAGTAAAGTTCCAGGCATTCTTAACTGTGCTAAGGTGAACCCAGGGTGTGGTTTTATCCACTCTTGAGCCTGCAGATTAGAATATTATCAGTCTACTAAGGAACCATTGGGTGAAAATGATAGTCCAAGTGAAAGAATCCTCTAAAGAAAGGTAAAATGCTCTGGTTGGTGTGGCTCAGTTGGTTGAGCGTCATCCTGGGCTCTGAAAGGTTGAGGGTTCAATTCTCTGGGCACATGTCCAGCTTTTGGGTTTGGTCCCCAGTCAGGGTGCATACAGGAGGCAACCCATCAATGTTTCTCTCTCACATTGATGTCTGTCTGTCTCTCTCTCTCTCTCTCTCTCTCTTTCTCTCTCTCTCTCTCTCTCTCCCCCTCTCCCTCTAAAAGTCAATAAAAACAAATTTTTAAAAATAAAGGTAAAATGTAGAAAACAACAAGACCTGTGGAATCCAACCACTCTTCTGCATCTGAAAATTCTCTTTTCAATAATATTAGAGGTCATAATTTTATTATCTTCTAAAATTTCCTGAAAGAACCTTGTCATTTTCACCAATGTATTGTGCACATGTGTTTGAAACACAACAGAAACCCAAATGTTTGCTGATGGAATTAATGAAGTAATTTAAATGCATGGACTTACAAAGTTTTTGTGGTTTCTTTTTAATCCTCACCCGAGGACATTTTTCCATTTTTTGTTCAGATAGAGTGGGAGGGAAAGAGAGGAAGAGAGAGAGAGAGAAACATCAATGTGAAAGGGACACATCGAGTGGCTGTCTCCCGCACGACCCAACAAGGGCCTGGGACAAACTGCAACCAAGGTACATGCCCTTAGTGGGAACCGAACCCGGGTCTCTCTGGACCGCAGGCTGATGCTCTAACCACTGAGCAAAATCGGCCAGGACTGGACTTAAAAAGGCCACCCATTCCAAACCTTTTCCCACAAGTGTATACATTTGTTCACACAGTACTTTAAAGATGGTCATAAAATTCATTTGACAAATTTCAATCAAATGTCTATAATAGTAAAGATGCTGTTTTCAGGAACAACGAAAGCAAATCAGTCACTGATACAGTGAATGTTTATTGAGGACTTACTATGTTACTATGTGCCAAACACTATGCTAAGCCCCAAAGATAATACTAAGATGCACACATCACCCCAATAAATTCAATTTAAAAAAATGTTTGCCAATCTGATAGGTGAAACATAGTATTTCCTTGATGATTTAATCTGCTCTTCTTTGATTAACATTAAGTTTATCAGCGATTTTTATTTACTTTCTATGAATTATCCTACATCTTATTAATGTGTGCCACAAAGGAATCTAGTCTTTATCATCTATGCTGCAAATGTTTTCTCTCACTTTGTCATTTATCTCTGGATTTTAGCTGGGGGATTTTCTAATTAAAATTTTAAAAAATTTAAATAGTCAAGTTTAAAGTAAAAATTTTAAAAGGTCAAATTTATCAAAAAATATTTTTTATGGTTTCTGGTTTTTTTCCCCAAACTTAGAAAGATCTCCATGATTCATTGTGAAAGTCATCCATATTTTCTTCTAGCATATTTATTATTTCAATTTTTAACTTTAAGTAATTGTGCCATCTGGAATACAGATAAGGAATTAAGGACAACATCAAGCTTTATTTTTTATCTAAATGACTAACTGGTTTGTTCCAGCATCGATTATTAAAGAATCACATTCTCTTCAAAAAAGATGCACATAGCACCTTACAGAACTTATGGAGAAAATAAATTGGACAAGTATCTATAATACTGTTTAAAATAGAAAAATGTTAAATGTTTCCAAAAGTATAGATAAAGGCTATTGAGAATGAGAGGTCAAAAAAGGAAACCAGGGTTTCAAAAGAACTTAATGGGTTATGAGACACTGCCATTCAGGAATGGAACATTATCTGTGGTTTAACCTCATAGTTTAGGAATGAAAGTACTACTTTCTAGCTGAAGCAGTTAATGGAAATGGCTTTGTAGGTTTAGATGAAAATCAGTATTTTATCTTCATATCTTTAGTGACAGTGACATTAGATTTTGAAAATAATACAGATCAAATCTCCTTTAATGCGGATGATAATCAAAACTGAAACAGGCCCTGGCCGGTTTGGCTCAGTGGTTGGAGCGTCGGCCTGTGGTCCAGAGAGACCCAGGTTCGGTTCCCGCTAAGGGCATGTACCTCAGTTGCAGTTTGTCCCTGGCCCTGGTTGGGTTGTGTAGGAGGCAGCCACTCGATGTGTCCCTTTCACGTCGATGTTTCTCTCTCTCTCTCTCTCTTCCTCTCTCTCCTTCCCACTCTATCTGAACAAAAAATGAAAAAATGTCCTCGGGTGAGGATTAAAAAAAAAAAGAAGAAGAATCCTGGACTTATGGGTGAGCTTTATTTATTTAACAGTAATGATGTAATAAAATTAATTCTATTATTTACATTGTAAAATAGGAAAGTGAAAATTAAGGTAACATATAGCTAAAAAATCACAGTTTTGTTCTATAATCAAATGAAATTTATCTCTCAGCTTCTTTCATATATGCCACTTTAGCTTCTCCAAATACTTTGAATGTACCCCACTTAAGCTGTTTCCTTCATGATAAACACACTGATTTGGGAATCAGATGATTTAGGAGCTAAGCCTGGCTCCACCACCAGCTACATGAATTTGGGCAGGCAAATTCTCTGGCCTAAATTTTCTCATCAGTAAAATAAGCTGTTAGAGTAAATAACCTCTCTAAGATCCCTCTGAACTTTAAAGCCTACCTCTACTCCCAAACCATCAACCAAAGCAAAAAGTTTCAAAACTAGCCCTGGCAGGTTTGGCTCAGCGGTTAGAGCAAAGGCCCATGGACCAAATAATCAAGGGTTCAATTCTGGTCAAGGGAACATACTTTAGTTGCATCCGGTGCCTGGCCCTGCTCAGGGTCATGCAGGAGAAAACCAATTGATGTGTCTCTTTCACATCCATGTTTCTCTCTCTCCCTCCCACTCTATCTGAAGATAAATGGAAAAATATCCTTGGGTGAAGATTTTTAAAAGTTTCAAAACTAATATTAAAGAACTTAGGTTTAACTACCTTTCTCCTTTTACTTGATTCAGCCAACTTATTTACGAATTTTAACAGCAGTCAGGTTGAGCAGTTTCATCTCTAGTAGTTACAAACTGGAGAAAATGATGTCCATCCTCTATTCCTTTAAAACAATTCTGTGACAAAAGACTTTCTAGGTCCTAAAACAATCTCTTTAATAGAATTGTGCCTCTATTGAAAAATTAAACACTCATAAAACTTATTTGTGAATTTCAAAAGGTTACTACATCCATGCATTCCATTTCAGCTGTGAATGTCTTCTGTTTATTGCATACTGCTTGTCACTAGTGTATGTTTACAATCTTTTCAATTGGATTTGCACAGAAAATAAATCCATTTGGCCATTTATATGGAGAATGATGTAGACAACCACAATATATTCATCCTATTTATACTGAAGAACCTATGATATGAATAGACCTATCAGGTAAAATTTTTTCAGCTACATTGTATGCAAAGTGCTGAAATGACTATAAAGATAATAATGAATACTTTGTTGTTTTACCTCTGCCTACAATTTTAGGGTATTCTCTACCTCAGCATAATTTGAAAACCTAACAACTGTTTTAAGATTAAAGCCCCTTGTCATATACCTCTAGTGTTATATTTTTTAGAATGCTAGTTGATATTAAAAAAACAATAATTCCAGAAAATATCATAACTACTATATTCAAGCAGCATTCCTATGAACATTAGCTACATTAGCCTAATATTTGCATATTAACGGACATTAAATTAAATCAAAAACTCTTTTGTCTGAAAAAATAAGGGAGAATATTAAAGGCAGAACAACTGGCTCCACTTCTGCAAATTAAGCAAAATTAAAGCAAAAAAGAAAGGAAGCAAGCAAAGGGAAGGAACTCAAGAGCTATTTGCAGCAATGGTCCCTTGGAAGTTCTAGACGCTTCCCTTGGAACTCGAAGAGATAAGAAAGGGAATGCAAAGGAGAGAGGGCACTCTCCTTTAAGCAGGCACCTTTCCTTTGGCCAAACTCAAAGTTACTCTTTTCACAACTTGCAATATTCATTGAATTCAACTTAAGATGTCTAGCAGATGTAGATTCGATGGGAAAGTATAGAAGACACTGGCATTTGCTTTCTCAGTTTGGAGCCCTAAGAACTGTACCAGAGTACTCAAAAACCCTGTTATGTTTGCAGAGGCGGCTCAGGGCATCCTCCTCATGCACACACCTGCAGGGTCTGGCGGCTCTTTCCTCTCCCCGTCCTGCCCTCAGGGCTGGACCAAGGTCCAGTGGCCAGCATACTGTTAGTCCAAGGGCCACCCAGGTGCCGGCAGGCGTCACCCGGCCCCGGGGGGGCCCAGAGCTCACGCCCCTGTCCGAGCGCCGTTTTTCCAAGCCACACAGCGGAGGCGCCGCGCAGCTGGACACCGGCATCACCAGGATGCGTAATACAATAAAAACTTGAGGGAGCACATCTACACTTGTGCCGACCTTGAGGCACGGCCCCCAACGCGGGTTAGAGGACCGCCGACCTGTCCCGCCCCTCCTCACGGCCGAGGGTCAGAGGTCCGTACCTGTCCTCCGAGACGCTGATGACGCCCTCCTCCTTGGGAACAATCACGGCCATATTCACCACGTCCTGGGACCCCTCGACCCGCTGCAGCAGGATCGGCTTGCGGGTCAACGGCTTGGGCTGAATCTCCGCCGCCATCGGAGGAGGGGGCGCGCCGGGAGCGCCGCTGCAAACCGCGCAGTGGAACCGGGTTAAGGAGACCGCTCGACCACAGGCACACGCTGAGACAAGGACTCTGGCTGCCCCGAGCAGGACGCCGGGGACCCGCGATCATAGCCTGGCCGCCGCCTCAGGGAACGACTCCGCGCTCCCGACTTTGGGCTCCGAAACCGCCACCACCAGCGCAGCAACCCAGCGCCACCACCAGCGCAGGGGGCGGAGAGCTGGGGGGCGGAGCCGGTAAAGGGAGGGGCCTGCCGCAGGGTGTGGCCGCTGATCGGCGCCAGGGTGAATGGCTGCACTTCCGGAAGGACGGTGGAGGAGGAGGGGAAACCTCCAAAGGGGCGGGGCTCTGGCGGCCAATGCGCGTGCGTCTGTCGGCTCGCCCATTTCCGTCGGGACCGCCCCGCCTCTCCTCTCCCAAACCCTTGCTGCACATTCCCTAGAACGCATGCGCCTTCCTTTCTCGGCGGTTCTGTCTTCGCCGCCATACACACCCAGTGTTTAGTCTCCTCCCCCTTCAATCTCCCGTGAACGCGCGTGTCCACACCCCTGGGGACGCGCCTGCCATAGGCCTCGCCCCTCCCGCCCAAAAATCCTTGAAAAGAGGGTGGAGAGTGGGGAGGGGAAAAGGACGCCTGCGCGGACCCGGAAAGAGAAGAAGCCTGCAGGAAAAAAAGCTGAACTAGTTGGGACGTGACTGAGCATGCGCGCAGGTTACCTGGCCGTAGCAGCCTTAACAATGAAGTGCGGCGGAAGGCGCCTTACCTTTCTCAAAGTGCCCCAGGCTCCGGCCACCGAATGACACCCCGTGGGCTCTTGGGAGTTGTAGTTTCTCGGAGCCTTCTCTCCCTTGTCTTTGAATGACCTATCTCCCACTTCTCTGCGCTCCTGGCCTGGGGAGCTCGGTTGCCTCCCCGGCCATTGGCCGAGTTGTTGCCAGGACTGACCTCTAAATTCAGAGAACGGAGGGACAGCCCTGGCTGAACAGGCTGTCCTATGTCCTTGGTTCAGGCCGCTGCCCATAATCGTGGAACTCTAAGGGCGGGGAAAGAGAATTTCTCGTACAAAAATGTCTTTGAGGCACTTTAGAGATCATATGTAGTGTCAATCTTCTAATTTTTTTAGATGGTGAACTTACTAGCCCAAGGTTACTTTAGCTCCGTTTTAGTGCTATAACCCCCCATCCAAACTTGAACCCAGGCCTCGCTACTCCTGGTTCTGACTTCTTTCTGTTACCCAGCAATCCGGCCTTTCCCACTTGTTGCAGAGACAAAGGAGACAGTTATTGTGATTATTATTATGAGATTTATTGTGATCATTATTATGAATAAATGTTAGGTTCTTGGTGCAGGCCTGGCATGTGACATCTTTCATTATGTGATAACCCCACTGAGCCATCCAAGAGTTAACAAGTTAGTGAGGAATAATCATGGTCTGTGTGGTGTGATTGGACTGAAAAGGCCTCTGGAGGTCAGAAAAATAATATATTAGAGCTGAGCAAAGAAGGGGACATGCCTTGTGGAAATGCATTTCTAATTCTTTTTTTTCGTACCTGTCCCTAGTGGAAACTGAGCCTGGGACTCTCTGGTCCACAGGCCGACTCCAACTGCTGAGCCAAACCAGCCAGGGCTTTTTTCTAATTCTTTTTTTGGGGGGGTGGGGTGCATTTCTAAGGGAAGTTTTTGGCAGCCAAGGCAGTATGCTGCAAATGTTACTACTGAACAGGGGACCTGGTCCTGAACAGGTCTGCCTAGGGCCAGCCAGTAGTGTATGGGTTCTTGATTTCGTGCAGAAAAATTTCACAACACAAGCCCAAGTGAATTTTAGAGGATGTCTGTTAAAGATGGGGACAGTGAAACAAGGAAGGGCCTAGAATAACAGGAAAGGGACGAGGTGGGGAAATGATCCTAGGCTGGGCTGCTTTGGCTCTCTAAGAAGTCAGAGAAAAGGGGAACTTGGGAACAGGTTTAGGGAGTCAGCCCTGGACAAGCTGTTGGTGTACATTGCTGCCCTGGTTGCAGGCCTCCTTGGGTCCCATAGAGTTTAGGAGATGGGAAAGAAGTAGTGGACGGGGGTGTGCTCCTGGGAGGGAGACCATGTGCTGGGACCTTCATTTTCAGGAGTTCTAAAGGCTGTGTTTAGGGGAGGATCTCAATAGAATATTCATCAGCTTTATGCTGATGTATCAAAATGAGATTTATTCCCTTAACTTCATCTGCCTTGGGTTGTTGGTAAAGGGCACTAAAGAATTTCTTCTATTGCCCTGGCCAGTTTGGCTCAGCAGTTAGAGCATTGGCCCACGGACAGGAGAGTCCTGGGTTCGGTTCTCTGTAAGGGCACGTACTTAGGTTGCAGTCTGTCCCCGGCCCTGGTTGGGGTTGTGTGGGTGGTGACCACTTTGTGTGTCTCTCTCACGTCAATGTTTCTCTCTCTCTCTCTTCCTCCCTCTCTCCCTCCTGCTCTATCTGAAGATAAATGCAAGAATGTCCTCGAGTGAGGATAAAAAAATAAAAATTAAAAAATTAAAAATTAAAAGAAATTAAGAATTTCTGCTATCTCCCTGAGTAGGGTGATTTAAGCTATTTATTCTCTGGTTGGAGGGAAGTGCAAACCATTTACTCTTAAGTGTCCTTAGTTTAGGAAAGAAAGGATTTACTAGATGGCTGCAAACTGCTGTTTAACTCTCAGTTTCCCTATTCTGCTTGTCCTGGCTTACTGGCCTGTCACACAGTAAAATTCTCAAAGCACAGTGCGACCCTTTATCACCTCCAGTCTTTGCAGAAATTCTCTAATGCCCTTGAATGGATAATTAGGGTATTTTTCAGCTTTGGGAAACAACAGCATTTCATTTTTAAAATAAAACTTTATTTATAAAAACAAAGCATTCTACTTCTCTAAGCCTCAGTTTCTCCACCTATCAAGTAGAGGATAATAACTGCCTTGGGTGGTTGTTGTGCGCTTACAAAGGACATTTTTAAGTGCCTTCAAGGTTTAGGGGATTAGGACATGGACATACCTGGGGGGGGGGGGGACTTTTCAGCCTACCACATTGATTTTAAATACCATCTGTATGCCGGACTCCTGTCAACCAATTGTCCTTGGCACCAATTCAACACCAACAGGAGTCCCTAATTTTGGGTGTGATGAAGAAGGAAATTTTATGCAGGGCAAAAACAGCTTAATTATGATACATCAGGGCTGTGAGGCTGCCCCAGGGGCCAGGCTTTCCTGGAGCCTGGCCCCTCTCTGGCTGGACAGCTCTGTTCTGCTCCTCCATGGTCTGCTCTGTACTGCACTGGCCTGTTTCTCTCTGCTCTGATGAGACCTCTTTGGTGTTTTAGCTCAGCAAGGGAGACACAGTCTTCAGTCTTCAATGGAAAAGCTCACAGCTATTGGGGAACTGGCTAATATGGACAGAAATCCCTGCCCCTAGTCCCTGATTGGCCTGTTCTAAGACAAATGAAGACTCCAAATTCTTATAGTTTGATTGGTCCAAAACTCACTGTCCTGATTGATCAGAATAGAGCCACTCTGGTTGGTCAGAACTTCACAGTCCGGAAAAAGCTTCAGTCCTATTGGTTGAAACAGGATTCCAGGAATTTCTCTATAAGGGCTGGCTCATATGGCAAAAGCACAGTACAAGTAGGCAGTTCAGTGCAGGCTTCTCTGTGAAATGCAGTTTGCATGAGAGGACTTTGTGCAGAAATGACTACTAGGCTGTTTTGTTTTGTTTTTAAATTGAGCCCTATGTAGCCACCAGGAGCCCTTCTTAGTAGATGTCTTTTTTTCCCCTCAGGGTTTACACTTCCATATTTTTATCTCTACCCCTGACCTCAGCCCTGAACTCTAGATTCATATATCTAATACCACTCCGCTTTGTCACTTAACTGTTTAATAGGTGTTCCAAATATTTCCAAACAGTATCTTTATAAATGTTTTTTAATCCTCACTCGAGGACATACTTTTATTAATTTGAGAGAAAGAGAAACATTGATGTAAGAGTGAAACATCTATCAGTTGCCTCCACAATTGTTCAAACTAATTTCCTAGGACTTGCTCCTGATTTTGTACTTTTTTCTCACAACTCATATCCAAATCATTAACAAGTTCTATCAGCTCCATCTCCAAATTATATCTTGAATTTTCTCACTTATGTCTACCCCAGTCCAAGTCATCATAATCTCTGACCTCTACTACCACAGTAGCTAATTCCTTTCCCTACTCCTTCTCCTTGAGCCCTACCCAAAACACTCATATAATCCTTTTATTTATCACAGTAGCCAGAAGATTTTGTTTTAAAATATCAACCAGATCAGTTATACCTCTGCTTAAAACTCATGAGTGGTTTACCACTGCACTTGGGATAAAATGCCAACTTCACCTCTCCTGCTCAGTACTCTCCAAGCCCTGGCTTGGAAATCCCGGAGAAACACCAACCTCCTTCCTGCGGTGGCCTTCGCACCAGCTATATTCACCTCCTGGCTACTTTCTTCTCACCACTCAGGCTTCAGCTCCAATGCTAGCTCATTAAAGAGTCTCACCCTCCTGCCTCTAAAGTACTCCACTTGTTCACAACACTCACTGGCATATCACCCCGTTTTATTTCCTCACAGTACTGAACTTCTGCCCAAAATAACCTTGTTTATTTCTTATTTCTTAATCTCCCTCTTCTAAAAGAGAAACACCGAGAGAGAAAGGACATTGTATACCTGTTCATTATTGTATATCTATCCCCTAGAATAGTGCCTGGTATGTTAGGAGGCATACTATATTTGTTGAACGAATGAATAGAAAGAAAAAGAGGCAGGTTTGAATTTGTTTAACTCTATTCCATTATAAAATATGGAAAGACTGAAATCTATACCTTGCCCTAAATCCTGGGACAGAACACTCCTCGGGAGAATACATACAACAAACAGATTATAGTACCAAGGCGAGTAATTGGTATTTAAGAGAAAGGCCTACAATGCAATTTCAGAAAGCACACAACTATCAGAAGCCCAGGTTAAAAACTCCTGCCTGCTCTAGGGAATGAGGACTGCTCAACCCTACTCTTTCACCCACAAGAAGGGGCATTTTGGTGGAGGTCAAGAACAGAAAGGAATAGCTTGCTACAAAAATTAGTCTCATATTCCTTTGTTTATATATTAGAGAATTTTGAAGAATTTAAATATAAGTTTAAATATT